ACCAAAGACCAGGGAGACCAAAAGGATTTTGTCCATGTGCAACTGCAGGGTGCCTCAGGTGAACAATCTAGGTCTCTTCTTACCTCCCTTGCAGTGTTTGGAAACCTGCATAGTTTTAGGAAGACTCACTTGGCTGCAAGACCCACAATTGACCAGTAGGTGGCAGTGTATAATAAACAAACAGCATCTTTAACAGCCACAAGGAGCACTAGGTCCTGGTACTTCAGGCCACCACAGGTTGTCTTCACACTCACATGCCAGTGATCCTGGTGACAGCATGGGGAGCACTTGCAGGTTAACAGTTCAGAGGCAGCACCATCAGGAAACTGGCTCCTGAAAATGGATGGTTTTGCTTTCGCTGACTTAAAGCAAGACTAGTGGTCCCAGGCTGAGTCAGGGAGGCATATAGCACTTTCCGTCTCTTGAGTATTTGGGTAAATGGAGTGGAATTCAAAGCAAATCAGCCCCTTCCTCTCATGGTCCTTTGTTGTTGTGTTTTTAGCTCTCCCTGCCTGGCTACCTCCGGCCTCTTGGTGGCTCAAAGGAACAGAGCAGGGACCCAGGGCCCACACTGGTGTGCTGGGGAGTAGGGTACAAGAGGAAGGATTCCTATTCTAGCTGGCTTCCTTCCACCCGGATACTGACTCTACAGTGTTCCAAGGACAGGTAGGGGAGGAAAGAAGTAACAGGAGGAGCTTGAAGGAAACACGGGGTGTGAGGAGGGTCAGGAGTACCCGGGTGCAAAGGGAGGAGTTGTGAGGGAGTGTGAAAGGAAGGTGTGGGTAAGTATTGGAAGGGAGTGTGCTAAAGGTACCGGCCTCGTTCTGACCCATCTCAAGGATTATCAGACTCAGAATGCTCGGTGTGAAACCTCAGTGTCTTCCTGGTATGGTGGACAGTAGGGGGCACTGTGGCCTGCTAACTGCCTGGAGGTTGTCTGTGACTGGCTCCCTTCTTGAATAGGCTGAAGATGACATGTCAGACCCATAGTCAGAGAGGGACCAGTTCTGTCCAGCTCCATCCCACAAGAGGCCGCCGCAGGGTGATGATGTCCTATCTGTACCCTGAAACTAATGCTTACAGGAAACCCTGTGTAGGGAAGGCCTAAGAGGGCCTCAAGCCCCTAACTCTAGACCAGAGGTTGGCCAAGCTCCTGGGTAGGGGGTCTTGGTAGGTACCCTGTTGAGCCCCCTAAGCACACCCAACCCTGGAATCAGTGAACTGAGATTTTAATAACCTTGAGATAAACTCAAGGACCTTGAAAAGAAGGAAGAGGAAAAGAAAAAAAAAAAACCCTAACATCACATGATATGATCTGGTGGGATAACAGACATCTTGTACGCTGCTAAACTCGGTCGACAGGACATTCTGAGAAGTAGCCCTTGGCAGTCAGTGGCCAGAAGGGTGAGATGTTAACTGTCAAGCCCCAAAATCAAGCCTGAGGCATCTAACTTAATGGTGAATGGCTTTAGAGGGAGAAAACTCTGCGGAGAAGAGGATATAGGATGGATGTTACCGAGGGGACTCTAAGCTTCCAGCACAGCACCACAGTGAGATCTGGTCAGAGAGCCTGTGGCTGCTAAGCTGACTGGTCCAAACACGTGGGGCTGGGCCAACATGCAGGAGCCTGCGGGGAGCAAGGCATTTGTGACACACAGGTGCCTTCAAGCCCTTATACACATTCTTGGGCCATATTTGGGGTATTCAAGTTTCTCCCCTCTACACCCAGACCCTACCCCTCTGATGCCTGCAAGGGTAGGGCAGTGGCCCAGAGGAGTCTGCCATCTGTCCTCTGCCAGCTTGTCTTTCCAGCTCCCTTCACCCTGGCCCAGGTGAGACAGCACAGCCAGGAGCCCCGGAGGAGATCCCCAGTATGCTTCTGTTGCAGAGGGCTATCACATGCCTCAGCTCTATAGCCCTTTGGAGACTGTGGATTTATTGATGCTTCATAATGTACAAAGATGATAGACTGTGCCAGGATAATCCAAGATGGGAAGTTCTAGGCAAACCCCCATGACACCAGGCTTCTAGCAGAGACTCCCAAGCTGGTAAAACAAGAGGGTGGGAGTCTCCCACCCATGGAGTTCCTCACGTGGGAGCCACCTAATTACAGCCTTCTGGGAGAGTCTGTCCCACGGAACAAGCTCCCAGTGACCAGTGCAACCTCCTACAGACAGAGGTTCCTGTTTTAAAGAAATAACTAACACACAGGACTAGTGACATGGCTCGGTGAGTAGTGTTTGCCTAGCATACATGAAGAGCACATGAAGCCATGGGTCCGATTCTTGGTACCACATAAGCCAGGTATGAGGATCTACTCTGTTAATTCTGGCACTTAGGAGGTGGAGGAAGGAAGATGAGAAGTTCATAGAAGTTCCTTGGTTACATAATGAGATCCTGACTCAGGAAGTAATGGGAAGAGGGAGGCAGGCAGGGAAGGAGGCAACTAACTCCTTTTGTTTGTTGTTTGTTTGTTTGTTTTCTCAAGATAGGGTTTCACTGTATAGCCCTAGCTGTCCTGGAACTTGCTTGTAGCCAGGCTTGCCTGGAACTCAGAAATCCACCTGCCTCTGCCTCTGCCTCTGCCTCTGCCTCTGCCTCTGCCTCTGCCTCTGCCTCTGCCTCTGCCTCTGCCTCTGCCTCTGCCTCTGCCTCTGCCTCTGCCTCTGCCTCTGCCTCTGCCTCTGCCTCTGCCTCTGCCTCTGCCTCTGCCTCTGCCTCCCAAGTCCTGGGATTAAAGGTGTGCATCACCACTACCCAGCCTAGGAGGGAATTCTTTGGGGACTATCTCTAATATTCCATGCAAACTGTACACACAGTGAATAAGAAATCCTGCCTATGAAGTAAAGAATAACAGCCAGAGTTGTCCTTTGACCTCCACACACGTGTGGTGACATACATTCTTGCATGCACACGAATGTGCATGCCCTAAGTAAGCCCTCTTGATTGCGGATGTGACGTAACCAGCTACTGCAAGTCCCGGCATTGACTCCTCTGCTATGATGGGCTGTAACCTGGAATTGGGAAATAATTTCAACCCTTTATCTTTTAAGTTGATTCCTGTCAAGCCCTGAGAAAGGAGATAACTACAGGGTGAGAGGCCACTCTAGTAACTGCTTTGAGCAGGCAGCAAATGGCTATTGTTGGTTTGAGACAGGGTCTCCCCACACCGGCTGGCCTTGAACTCACAGAGATCCACCTGCCTCTGCCTCCCAAGCACGGGGATTAAAGGTGTGCATCACTGTACTGGCTGGAAAGCCCCGAATCTAAGGTGATGTTCCTCTTTTGGAATACAGCTGTGGATTTTTTGAGACAGGGCAGCAGCCAGAAAATGGTCATATGGAGGACAGTGCCTCTCTCTCACTGTCTGGCTACCAAAGCTGTCAGCCTGTGGGGCCTTGTGAGGCTTCAGAATGTGTTCTAGGCTACTTGATGCTCCCACAGATGTTTGGTGAGAAGGAACCTTGCAGAAGCTTCTAGAGAAACAGCCAAGCATCCCCGCTTGGGGCCCACATCCATGGCAAACACTAGTAATATTTACCGAGTATTTCTGGGAAAATGAGTGCAAAGCGCAGGCGATGCCGTGCAAATTGCCAGGACGCAGAACATTAGCAACATGGAGCATTTAATGAGTCTAGGAAGAGAGGAATGAGTTTCAGGAAAATGTCACTTGCAGCAATGTAAACAGGCTTCTCATATCTCCCTGTGCTGGGGACTTGTTTCAGTCTCCAGGTATAAGCAGAGCTGTGATTCTGGAGAGAGATTGGGTTCTCCAGACAGAGAGAGGAGACTCAGAGGGCGGTCAGAGGGGTTTCTGTGAATTTCAAGTCCACTGAGGCCGACTGGATGGGATCTCAGTGGTGTTGGGTGGAAATTAAAACTCTGTGCCTGGTGTGAGTCCCTGAGAAGCATTTGCTATAATCCCAATGCTTGTGCCCCCACCTCCCAATTCATACGGTAAGTGGTGGTAGAGAAGATGGGACCTTAAGGCATGATGACATCATGAGACTCAAAGCACTCCTGGATGGGATCAGTGGCTAAAAATATTTACCAAGGAGGCTTGACAACCTGAATTCAATCCCCAGGGCCCGTAAAATGTGGAAGGAGATACGACTCCATAAAATTCAACTCTGACCTCTACACAATCCCTTAAAAGATCCAGGGCCAGAGAAATGTCAGCAGTTGAGAGCACTGGCTGCTCTTGCATGGGATACAGGTTGGATTCCTAGCACCCACATAACCATCTGTAACTCCAGTCCCAGGAGATCTGACACCCTTTCCTGGCCTCTGAGGGTACCAGGCATGCATATGGTGCACAGACATGGAGGCAGACAAAACACCCATACATATAAAATGAATAAATTTTACAAATAAAGAGATCCCTGGTAACACTCCACTGAGGAGGCCACACCCACCACATGGGCTTGTCTGTCTTCTGATTCTCTGAAAAGCCCACATGCATGCATTCAGGTGTGCCTTGCTTTCTTCTGAACATCCCTCTTTCTCTTAATCCTCACACTTATGCCTATACTAAAATACCTCTATCAACCCCCAACTTTGTTTCATTAAAAAAAAAAATGAGACCTAAGAGTCCACTATTTGAAAACCTACAGGGAGCCTATAAACTAGAAAGCAATTAGCCCTCCCCAGTGGTGGGCCCTGAACTTTGCTTCTTAGCCTCCAGATCTAAGAGCCAAACACTGCCGTGCTTCTCAGTTGGTGGTGCCTTGCTTTGGCTGCCATAATAGACCAAGATGGGAGGATGGTGACTTTTGTTAAGGTGTGAAAGGTGAAGGCCAAGATCATCCAATGCATTTTCTATCTCAGGCAGCTTTGCTGCTCCTGCCACTCTTGTTGCTGGACCACAGAGGGACATTGTCCAGGTGGTTCCAATCCGCTCTGCGCAAAGCTGTCTCTGCAGTAGTAGCTTGGTGTGTGGCCCAGGAAAGACTAGAAAGCTGTTGGCTTCAGAATGCTTTCTTATCCTTCTTCCTCTGCAGTACCAGACAGTATCATCACCAAGGCTCTGGCTGAGCGTCTGGGCCAACAAGACTGCATCCGGAAAGGGTGGGTGCTGCACGGCTTCCCGAGAGACCTGGACCAGGCACGGATGCTGACCTCTATGGGCTACACTCCCAACAGGTGAGCTGCTTCCCCAGAGCTTTCAGGCCCTCCCAAGGCCCTGGCAATCTTCTTCCTACCAGGGACTCAGGTGATGGTGGTGTGCCACCAATAGTTTCTAGTGCACCAAAGGAGTGTGTCATCCCATTCCCCATGCATCCCACTCCATTTGCCCTGTGAGCTCAGAGTCCTGCTGCAGGTTGTGGGTTTGAGTTTTAGTTAATGTCGCTCTGGCTGTGTCCATGTGCATGAACTGGCCTTTGACATTCTTAGGTCTACCTCTGAACTTTCTGTTTCCCATGTGTATTTCTCCAACACTACCACGCTAGTGAGCCACTTGAGGTGTGTGTGTGTGTGTTTTGTTTTGCTGGCTCTCTTTCCACCTTGACGTGGGTTCTGGGGTGCAAACTCAGGCTGCCAGGCTTATGCCATGCCAGCTTCCTGGCCCTAGACACTTTAGTTTTGTGACATATTTCAACACACTCTAGGTCATTGCCCTCTTATTGCACTTTACTGGATGCATTGTACCAGGTGTCATGTATTTGCTTTACATTTGAAGACGGAAAGCTCCCACGGGAATTCCAAGTGGGATGGCCTTGACTTAACTGATCTGCTGAACCCCGCATGATAGGGACAGTCTAGCACTCTCCTGGGGTGCACTCCGAATTCTAAGTGAATTCTAAGCCCATTTCTAGATGGAACGTGTCTGAACGTGTCTGAACTTGTTGCTGGAGATGTCAAGATGAGTTGGTTGCGGCTGTTTTACTTTTCTATGGTTGTTTGTTGTTGTTTTAAGATAGCAAGAAAGGCATTGTTTCTTGCTGTTTAATTTTTTAAAGATGTATTTATTTATGTATATAGTGTTCTGCCTGAACATCAGAAGAGAGCACTGGAACTCATTATAGATGGTTGTGAGCCACCATGTAGTTGCTGGGAATTGAACTTGTGGCCTCAGGAAGAACAGCCAGTGCTCTTAATTTCTGAGCTATCTCTCCCGCCCTGTTTCTTGCTTTCTAATTTGTTCTCTAGTCCACTTTCAGAACTTTCTCAGGTGCTTGCACTTGTGACTCTCGATTTTTCCAGGTGGAGGTGATGGTGCCTCACCTACAATTACTTATCTTTGCCTCTTTTCCATTGTAGTCTAATGTTTCCCTCTTTGCCATTTAGTTAATTAGCATGAAAACCGTTACATTTTACTGTATCATTTGCAACAGCATTTTTGTTAATTTCCCTTCTTGACTCTTCTCTCCCCCGCCTCATTTATCCTTCCCTCCGCAGCCTCCTTCCCACTTGCATCCTGATGCCCTGCCCCCACCCTTCCTCTACACCTATTTCCCCCAGGTTCACTCACACACACATGTTCACTTACATACACACATGTTCACTCACACATTCTCTGGATGTGTGATTTTTATCTTTCTGAGTCTATGTCACTCACTTTACCAGTTCATCCATTTTCCTGAGAATTTCATAACTTCATTTCCCTTTTATTTGCTGTGTTTAGATACCATAATTTTACCACCCACTCATCAGTTGATGACATCTAGACTGGTTTTGTTGCTATTGTGAATAGAGGAGCAGGAAACATGGATATGCGCGTATCTATGTGGCGGACACAGAGTCCTTTGGGGCTATGTCTTGTGGGAGGTGTGGTTTCCTTCTTCTGAGATGCCTGTGTACTGATTTCCACAATGGCTACACTAGTTTATAGTGCATCTAGCAGAGAGTAAGCGTTTCTTTTTTCCCACATTGAACTGAAAGCCTCTACCCAGGCTGGGCATGGTGGTGTACCCCTTTTTTCCCTGCACTTAGGAGGCAGAAACAGTTGCATCTTTGTGAATTTGAGGCAAGCCTACTCTACATAGTGAGTGAGACTGTGTTTTACAAAACAAAACAAAAAGTTCTGCACAACCTACAGAATAGAAAAGAAAAAAAAAGCCAGTTATATTTTAGACAGGCATTTACACACACACACACACACACATACACACACACCATATTTAAAAAATAAATTTAAAAAGATCAGTTATCCTGGACTACATGGGTGAGTCCAAAATAATCATATGAGCCCTCAAAGCCTCGAGAACAGAAGAGGAAGTCAGAGAGAGGCCGGGCAAGGGTAGACCAAAGCTGTCACTGCTGGCTTGAAGATGGGTGTCCCCTGCAAATTCAAGATTGATCCTACAGCATCAATGAGCTCCAGGGGAGAGCCACCACCCTGACACATGCAGATCCTGACCCACAGAGGTTACCTGAGCAGTTAAGGTTGTTAGGGTAGTAACAGGAAACTGACAAACCTCTGGTCACACACGGAGATCAGAAGATGCCCAGTGGGAACGAGTTCTCTCCTTCAGCCATGTAGGTCCCAGAAATCAGCTCAGGTCATCAGGCAAGCGCCTTTATCCACTGAGCCATCTCTCTAGCCCTCTAACATTTTTATTTCATTCATTCTTTCTTTCATTCATTAGTTCGTTCATTCTTTCTTTCACTTATGGAGTATGTGTGCGAGACCTCTAAGTTTTTAATAGTTTATTCTATGGCTAATTGTTTAATAGTTACTTGAAACAGTGTATAATTAAAACTTAAAGTCATGACGCTAAGCATACGGTCTAAGTAAACTATGTTCATTTTATGTTCAGATCTGTGCCCTGCGCTCTTGTTTGTTGTTGATAGTTGTCTGCCAGCAGCCCCTTAAGGACCAAGACATTTGTTAACCTCGCATTGACATTGCATTTCTTTCCCTGTGGGTTTGCTTTTGGGGTTGGAGTACCCCCTGCTCCTCCACCCCCAAGCCACTCCCCAGCCCTGTTATTTAAGTCGGGGTCACCTTGTGGCCCTGGTTGGCCTCAAACTCACTGTCTCCCTGGGTTGCGGGTAAGACATGGCCAAACCTGGCAGCATGGCTTTTCTGTTGCTTTTTATTGTTTCACATGGTTTTTGCCTTATCTGTTTTGGCGGTGTGTTGTTGTGTAGGGTACTTCTCTGGTCACTAAAGGAGGATTTCTTTTCTCTCCATGCTTTGGAGGGCCACTATATGGCAGCTAAGCACTTTGGGCTTGGGCAGGGCATGATAGGGTTAGGAACAGGTGCTGGGAGCAGTCTTTACTGCCTGCGACCTAGGGACCTGGTGTAATCTTTAAAGGCACACCCCCAGTGACTTTTCCCCCTCAACTAGGCCCCACCTCCTTAAGTTTTCAGAACCTCCCCCAAACAGTGCCACCTATTGGTGATCAAGTGAACAGCATGGAGTCTGCAAAGACATTTCCAATCGAAAGTACAATAGAACATCCTGGTGTATGAAAACAAGGATTCCACTTCCAGGCTTTTTTGGATGCAGGGTCTCATGAATCTAGATCTGCGTTTGAACTCACTGAACAGCTGAAGATGACCTTGAATCGTTTATCCTCCTGTCTTTGACTTCTGAAATGCTGGGGTTGCATATATGCATCCCCATGTCCAGTTTATGTGGTGCTGGAGGTCGAACCTAGGGCTTTATATGTGCTAGACAAACATACTAGCAGCTAAGCCGCTTCCCTATCTCACAAGTCTTAATAGCTGTGTGGAAGCAGTATGCGCTGGTCAAAGAGCTGTAAATACCCAACCGTAGTTACCCCAGAAGGGAGCTGACTCAACTGGAGGTCTTAGCTCTCTGCTTGTGCTTCCCTTCCTTTCCTCTGTTTTCCCTGGAGTTAATTATGGTAGCCAGGGCCTTTAAGGCAGAATCCCCAGCCAGCGAGGCTCAGCCGCTTGTCCTAGTTTGCTCTCTTTGCTGTGATATGAACATATATATGACCAAACATAAATTAGGGAGGGAAGTTTTTGCCTACACATCCTGATCATAGCTGACCATCCATCATTGAGGGAAGTCAGTAGGAACTCAGCAGGAACATGGAGGAATGCAGCTTATTAGCATACTAAGCCTGCTTTCTTATAGAACCCAGGACCACCTGCCCAGGGGTCCAGCCACCTCGAGATCACCTTTGGGTGCCTGCATGAGCTTTTGGGTTAAGTAGAGGAAGAGGTTGCACAAGAGGTTGCATAATTTGCAACCTGGTGGAGGTGTGCTTCTGGCCATCATTATATCACCTCGGGTCCTACAATGTGGTCAGATAAGCTTAACCTGGTTCCTTGGGATGACCTGCCCTCCCCCACCCCATGTGGCCATTTGGAAACAGCTGTTCTCTTGGGGCATGGCTAGCCCCACCAAGTTCTGCTGTTCCTGGAGTTCATGGGTGACTGCAGCTTTCGGACCTGCAGATGCCCTTGGAATCTGGAACAGAATGTTGTAAAAGCTGACAGTAAATTGCCTTAGATATTAGTGTCTTGGTGTCTTCTGCCTTGGAGGGGATGAGACAGGTAAGGTAGACCACTATGACCAACATACAGAACCGAGAAGCAGACTGGCCAAAGTAAAGGAGACAGACATAGAACATGGACAGAGACCAGGTTCTCACGCTGGTCCTCGCCGTTAGCCAGCAGTGTGACATGCCTGCTGCATGATGGCCTCAGTCCCCCACTGGCCAGTTTCCTTTGCATCTGTTTGTTATTTGCTATGGGGCAGGCAGCCCCTCAGGGAAGCTCACTGAGTCCAGAGCAGGAATCTGTCCTTTCCTGTTTTCTCCGGGTGACTCCCATGATGTTCCTATGTGGCCTGGCTTCTCTCTAGGTGGCTTGAGCTGCTGACTGCCTGGAGCCTTCCTTTGCTAACACTAAGGGAAGTCTTTTTGCCTTTCTTCTGAATTGAAGTTGCCTTCTGAATACGCCTCTCCCCTCCCCTCCCTCCCTCTCTCCTTCCCTCCTCCCTCCATCCCTCCCTCCCTCCCTCTCCCCTCCCTCTTCCCTACCACTCTCCCTTCGTAGACATCAGCTTTCTCCTCTCTCCCACCTTCAGTTCACTGACACCTTCCCTCCACCTCTCTACTCCTGATACCAGCCCTCCCACCTCCATGCATGGACACCGGCTCTCCCTCTCTCTCCAACCTCCATTCATGGATGCTGGCCCTTACCCTGTCTCAAATTTT